AGTGAAAGTAATTTTTTTTGAAGAGAAATTAATTAAAAATAATTCACTATTCTGCAAATAAAATAATTTTTTGAAATTTTGATATGTATGTTTTAAATTGCAAAAAGTAATTTAATTTTAATTATTTTCTCAATTTTTGAAATTTTGAAATAAGAAAAAGGAAAAGAGTTTAATTTTTTTATATTTTATTATTGAAAATTTAACTGTTATACCTGCAGAGTCTTATTGACTCATACAATAATATAATTATTTTAAATATCTGCAGAGATTTCAAAATCTCCCATGATAAAAGAGTTTAACAATTTAATTATTTACTTATATTTTTAAGTGTTAGTAATAATTTGTTTAAGCATGTGTGTGTGTGTGTGTGTGTGTGTGTGTGTGTGTGTGTGTGTGTGTATGTTTTTTAAAGAATCTTAATTGTCATATTTGCAAAGTCTTATTGACTTATACAGTAATATGATTATCTTAAAAATCTGTGAAGATTTAAAATTGTCACATAATAAAGGATTACATGTTTATTTTTAAAATATATATTTTAATTTATTTCTTATTATGTATGCATGTATATAATTTATATATTTCTTTGAAAAAAAATTAATCGTTATACTTACAGAGTTTTATTGACTTATATGATAATACGATTATCTTAAAAATCTATAGAGATTTAAAAATCTCACATGACCTAAATATTTAATAGTTATTATTCAAATAAATTTGTTTTAAATAATTAATTAGTTATTTTTAAAATTTTTATTATATTATTATTTATATAAACTGTTTATTTATTTATTATATAAATTAGTAATTGCAACATCTGTGAGAATTTATTATTCCACATGATAAGGTAATTAATTTGAATATCTATGGAGATTCTTCAGATTTCACATGATACTGTTTAAGTGATTCAAATCATATTTGGGAAAAGATAAAGACAAAATTTTTAATTTGAAGAATAGGCCATTGGAATCCATGTTCAATATACATAAATTAGATCTTCATACCTGCAAAATCTTGTTGATTTTCATGATATAGGATCATTTTAAATTTAAATGCTTGCGGAGACTCTTGAAATCTCACACTGCAAATAAACTATAAATATATCCCTCTTTTTTCTCTTTTTATATTTTAGCCTCTTATAAGGAAATCATGACAACATATGGAAATAGAAAGCACCATGAGGTATATATATGTTTTTAGCCATGATTACTAGTACGCATAAATAAATTACTACAAATGAACAAAGATCGATGCAAGGATCAAATCACGCTATCACACATTGCATCTTTCTAAAACATAGTAATTAAAAATATTGAAAGGTAATTTAAGAATCAACCATCCAAAACTGAACACACCTAGACATGTTGGGCATCTTATAGGACAAGCTATGACAAGCCTACTTTGGCAATTCTTTTCACAAATAAATATTTAAAGCATAAGGCGTATAGCTTAGCAAGTCTTCATAGCTATTAAGCAAGCTTCATGATTAATGGAACAATACCCTTTGATCAATAAGGGACACAAGATTGCACAGGTTATAAGATCTTAAAAAAAAGGAAAGAAAAGAAAAAAAAAAGATTCAAAACACAACCTTTACCTACAAATGTCAGACCAGAGAGTATGCTCTTATATTTACTAATATATCATCAAACACCTAAATTTAGATATCTCTCATAATGCAAGCAATAAGATGATGAAATTAGAATTTTTGAAGAACTAGATTGCTAATCTATCTTTAAGCATTTAAATGGATTTATGCATTAATCACCAAGCTAGAACAAGCACTCATTCAGTATGTGCCAATATAAAATGAAGCCAAGACCATTCCTTCTACAGCATATACGCACACAAAATCCATCACAGCTATACCTCATTACCAAATCTTCAAGAAAAATATTTTATCTAAACCTTTGTTAAAGAAGACAATAATCACATGGCCAAAATTTCTCTAATAAATAGAAGGAGGATAATTTTTCAGTTAAGCCCCTATGTCCATGGTTTAGTTTTATGCATCCTAAAACTAATCTAAAGTCTAGAAGCAGAGCTTGGAATTGATCTTGATCTAAATACATTAAATCAAAAAAAGATTGGCTTCAGACCTTTTAATAGAGATGGTATTTTCAATAAGCTCTTCCTCCTTCTCCTTCGATCTAATATGCTCCCCTTATGGATTCGGTCTTCCATTTTAAATCATTGTGCATCGATTCTCTTTAACTCTAGCTTTATCCAAATTCAGACTCCTTCCAAAGATCAACATTGAATCTCTGTCTAGCTCTCAATCTCTTCTATTCTCTTTCAGAAAAATCCTCCCAAAAATCATTCTTAATCTCTCCTTTATATCAAAGATGAAAATCATACCTGGATCGCTTGAATCTATAAATCTCTAACCTGATTTGACTTCTCCTTCATCACATGGCATTGGACTTCCTCTACAATGCCACTTTTCTTCAACATATAACTTTGGTCTTTCCTCTTCTTGCTAAACTTCACTGTCTAATCTAAAAAGTAGAAGTAGGAAGGAGTTTTATAGATGTTTGTGTGCTTCACTCCTCTTTCTTTGATGCGTTCAATGATCGTGACTTTGGATGACTCAAGTTGCAACACCTATACGTCTTCTTCTTGTGTTCGATCCTTCAAATGAACCGAATAACCTTTCGGTGCCTCTTCTTTTCTTTTTTAATAACTCCTTTTCTCTTTTTTTTTTGTAAATGATATATATATATATATACATAGATACATATATCTTTTTTGTTACATTTTAAATTTAAAATAAGAATATCTAAAATGAAGGATCTTATCTCAAATTCATATTTTTTCATTTTTAAAGTTTAAAAGGAATTTTTTTTAATTTTAAGATTTTGCCCAATTTGTTTAACTACCATTTTTAAATTTTGATTTTTAAAAAAGAAAGATTCTCTAGAATTGAAAATCTTTTCTTAATCCTATATTTTTTTACTTCTTAAAATTTAAAAGAAAATATTATTTTTTATTTTTTCAAACTAATTATTTTAACTAATCAAAAGAAATAAAATCCTGGCTAATAGAAGATTATCTAGGCTAAAAATAAAATCAATCCCTATTTAATTAATTTTATCTATATTATTAAAATTTCATTTTTTGGGTTAAATTTATTATTATTATTATATTAAAAAATACCGTACAAAATACAGTGTTCACAAATATAAATTGTATATATGTGTATATATGGGTAAAGTAGTGATTGGAGACCTATGAATGGTTCAAAAAGTATGATCATAGAGGTAGGAGTTCACCTGTGTGGAGTGTAGTGATAAGACCATGTGGCATATTCTCCTTAGTGTTCGATGGGGTACGGTGTTGGAGAATTGTATCTTCTTAGTGACTTTTGGGGTGTGGTGTTGGAGATTATCTCCTTAGTGCTATTGAGGTATGGTATTAGAGATTTGGACTTGTTAGTGTTTGTGTGATATAGTATTGGAGTCAACGACATCCCATTGTGTGTATTGGAGGAAATCATAGTCCAGAAGTGCAATAGAACACCTTTGGTTGGGTGATTTTACTACTAAAGGTGAGCTTAAGGCCAATGATAGTGTTATTATTCTAAGGCGAGCGTATGGTTTCATGTTGGGTTGATTTAGAGGTTCGATCGATAGTGATGATGTTGTTTATGTGGAAAAGTGGTAGAAAGTGAAAAAAGAGTGAATTGACATATGTTGTGTGATTTGAAATGAAATATATTTTATATGCTATGATTGATGGTATATTATGCCATACTTTTATATAGTTGCATGTAGTAGTTAATAGGAGCAAATTATTCTGTTACTAAGATTTTTATCTCACCCCCATAGTTACATTTTTACAGGACAGAGCAGTGATCAGGGCAAGGAAAAAGAGTCTGCACCAGTATAGTGGTGCCGTGACTGCGAGACCTCTAAGTTTGTGTAATGAACAAATTGATGTGAATATTGTATATATATATATATAAGTTGCCATAGGGTTGCATGCATGATTTAAATGGTTATAAGTTATTGAATGTAGAGAATTGTAGCGATTTTGTGAAATCTTAACCTATATGTGTAAACATGTGATGAAATGAGTAGCTAAGGCTAAGATTTAGTGGAGAACATGTTATGAATGTGGATGAATGTGGTATTGTGATGAGAAAGGCCAAGTGGGCCAAAATTGTGACAAATTGTGAAAAGTTATGATTTATGGAAATTGACTGTTGAATAGCCAAATTGTGATATATGTGTGTATATGTTGTATAATATGGTCAATCAAGTGAAATAGGTTGTTTTGGACGTGATTCAAGGCCTAGAATGGTCTAATGAGACCATGGGATCAATTTAAGAGCTTGGATGTGCAAAATTCTTAAAAAAGTGACTTTTTGCACTTGGATGTCTAAATTTTGGTTGGACCGTTGGATCAGGTCCAAACCTATCTCATTAGTTAGCTTATGAGATAAGCTTCGTGTAGGGGCTTAAATCATTCCAATTGGAGTCGTATGTGAAAATAGTGCATGTTAGAAGTTTGTTATTTTTGCTATCAAATGAAACCAGAAATCAAACAGGTGTGCCACGGCATATGGCATCTCATGTGTAACATCCCAATTTAAATTTTAATAGTTAATTTAGGTTAATAGAAATTTTTTTTTAAAAAAATAATAATATTTAGAGGTAAGAAAATTAGTAGAAAATGATTATTAAATCTAATTTAGGATATAATTCTAAATTTAAAAAAAATTTAAAAAAAATAAATAAATTTATAAAAAAATTAATTAAAAAAATTAATTATTAAATTATTATTATAATAAAAAAAAGGGAAAAAGGTATGACAAAAAAAAAAAGGAAGAAGAAGAGAAAACGAATTTGCTTTCGGCGCCGCATGAATAGTAAGTATAAAATAATAATAAAAAAAAAGGGGGGAAGAGAGAGAAGAAGAAATAATAATAAAAAAAATGTGTGGGACCCACTGAATTTTTATAAAAACTCACCTTCCTTCATTTCCTCATTCATTCTGCGCGCGAGCTGAGGCGGAGAGAAGCGAGTTGCCGGTGCGAAATATCTAAATTTTTAAGGTAAGAGTTTTTAATAGGATATTTAGGGTGTGATTTTAAGCTTTTCAAGACTAAGTAAGTGTTCTAAAAATTTTTCTTAGTCATCCTTCTTATTTAGTTTTTGAGTTTGTAGTGGTAGAAAATTTAAGATCTGGAAGAGGGATGAATTTATGTTGAATAAATATGATTTTTGAGGTTGTCAGTAGTATAATAAATGTTCTGGAGTATAAATTTATTGATGATCTTTGAATCTGTGGCTTATGGATCAAATTTTAAACTAGATCTGAAAATATATGTTGATTTATTGAGGTTTAGATGATTATTTGGGATGAGAAATGAATTATTATGGTTATAGGATTATGATTCTAAGCTAGAGACTCAATTTTTAATTTTTGGGTATTTTAGGTACAAATTTATAAAATAAAAAGAAAATTTTGATAATAGAAATTAGTTTAAAATTTGATTTTTAGATTATTAATGTTTATTGATAATTAAAAGAGGAGTTAAAAATTTTACTTAATAGTATTAACTATAGATTTGTATTAAGATTGAGATTAGGAATTATGTTATATTTTTAATTCTATTATTAGAATTATTTTATTAGTTTCAAAAATTGAAACTAATATTTATAAATAATATGTTATTTGTAGATTGTATTACTGGTGAAGATTGTGGAGAGAGAGAAATTTTAAGGAATAATTTATTGAAAAAGCCACAAGGTAACCATGCTTTTAATTTATGATTAGTGTTACTTCTTGTTAATTGGGTGATTATTGAGAAAATTATGAATTTTGTAATATTGTATAATTGTGCAATATTATTATGAATTTGTTTAATTATTGTGGGAGGTGTTGGGAGACTTGCTATTATTATTGTATTTATGTGCCACGTGGTACGCCCCTATTGGAGCTCAATAGGTGGCTTGTAAGGGCTCGGGCTAATCTACCTTTGGCCGGGTAATTTAGCACCGAGTGAGGGCTACGGCTCGAGGTTAATGGAGGGATATAAGGATGGTTGTTTGTGTTTATTATAATATTTCTTATATTTGTTGGAATTATATTATTTTTAATTCTCACTTAGTAAGCACACACTTAACTGTTTGTATACACTATCATAAATTGGCTTTGGTTACTGGGACTTTTGAGTCTCATTATGTGGTTAACAATTTTCAGGAGAAGAGCCACGAGTGACACGTAGAGGAGTCCCAGAGGCTTAGTGTATAGATCCACTGTCTCTTTTGGGTATTTAATTTATGATTTATAATGTGTTATATTGCCAATATTAGGACTTTTTTATGTTTATTGTCAATTATATGAATATATAAATGTAATCATGCCTTTCAAACTATTTCTATTTTTGGTACAATTTGGATGACTGTAATTTTAATATTTGATTTACTTTGGATTGGTTAAAATGGCATGATTATAAGGCCAAATAACTGGCTTGTGTTGAAAATTGACTAAATTGCTTATTTTACTTGTTGGGAGTATAAGGATGGACAAATTTGATTTAGTTTACTTGTTGGGAGTATAAGGATGGACAAATGTGATTTAGCCTAATGGCATGTGGGAGGTAAAAATTTATCTGAAATGTTATAGTGTGTGAGTTGAAGCCAATTATAAAATATTTTATATCGAAATTATTGATATAAAAATGTGTTGGGTGGCTGTAACCCAACTATGGTTGAGTTAAATTATTTAAAAAAAAAATTTGGTGTGTTACAAATTTTGGTATCAGAGCTACATGTTTCAAATTCTTATAAATTATGAAATTGTTATACATTAACCTAGTTTATTGGCAATATACATTAGTAAATCATAATACTTCTCCATTATTTTTCTTGTCTTGAGATTAGTGTTAATTTAATTATGTGACTTCCATCCTTTAGGAGGGGAGAGATGGTGTCCAAAACTAGGAGAGGTGGCGAAATTATCGGTGATTCTATAGAGCCAATAGGAAATGACATACCTTCACTGCCACAACCGGAGCCCACACAGCAACAAATTGGGCAGGGCGAGCCCATACAGTCACAACTAAGGCAGGATGAGCCAACTATGAGGCAAATGATGGATCTACTATATAATCTTAGTGACCGTATGAAGAGACAAGAAGAAGAGTTGGCCGCTTTAAGACAATATAAGGAGAATGATAACCGAGAGGGAAATGGCCAACAAGAAGGAAGCCATACCAAGGTATTCAATGCGAGCCAATCTGCTGATGAAGGCTTACCTCCCTATTCTCACCATGAGACTAGTCCGAAGAATGTGAGTCTCCACTCTGAGCAACAGACATCCACGATCACAAAGATCTGGAGTACTTTTCGTAAGTTTAATCCTCCTACTTTCGATGGAAATCTTAAGCCGGCGGTAGTTGAAGAATGGATAATCAATTGGAGAGTATTTTTCGTATGGTTGTGTGCACTTCTAATCAAAAGGTGCAGCTGGCAATATTCCTACTACAGAAGAGTGCTAAGAAATGGTGGGAAACATCAGGACCGAAGGATGATTCCTCTCTTACTTGGGAAGATTTTAAAGCCATATTGTTCGAGAATTATTTTCCTACTGCACTGAGAGCAGAAAAGGAGGCTGAGTTTCATGCATTCCGCCAGGGTGATTTAGATGAGGATGAATTTATTGAACAATTCTCAGAATTATCTAAATACTCTACTTACCTCCAGAAACATGAAGACACGGAGTGGATGGCTGAACGATTACTAGAGAAGGCGAGGCCTGATCTAAGGGAACAGTTAGCCCCTTTTGAGATCAAGACATTCAGTGAGATGTGCAATAAGCTTCGAATAGTTTCTCGGAGGAAGAGAGAGGCTAGATTAGAAGCTGATAGAGAGAGGAGGAAAGAACCTCATGGGAAGCCCCCTATCCACACCCGACCCATTGGTGGAGTAGAGAAGAGGAGCAGTCAAATCTTTGGAGGTTTTAGAAATCAGAAGAAGAAGGGCTACTATCATAAGGGCCAGAGCTACAGAGGAATCAGAGTGGAAGTCAAGGGTCCTATAGGAGCCCAGCTACCTTTAATCCTACTCCTAGTGCTGCTAGTAATCAAGCATGCAGTAAGTGTGGGAAGTTTCATTCTGGTGATTGTTGGGTTTGTTACATCTGTCAGAAGCCTGGTCATATTGCTAGATTCTGCTATCAGAACCAAAATAGGGGTAATGATCAGAGACCTACAGTACCAGCACGAGTGTATGCCCTCTCTGGGCCAGAGGCTGCTAACAACCCTAATGCTATCCGAGGTATAATCCGAATCCTTGATAATGATGTTTGTGTTTGTTTGATTCGGGTGCTACACACTCTTTTGTGTCTGATGAATGTATGAAAAGATGTAAATTGCCTGTGTGTACCTTACCTTTTGATGTGAAGATTTCTACTCCTGCTGGTTTGACTGTAAGGACTGCTAAGGCATGTCTAAATGTAGAGGTTGAGTATGAGGGTCGAAAGACCACCATAGACCTCATTTGTTTGTCTTTGTCTGGGATTGATGTTATTGTGGGGATGGATTGGTTGTCTGCAAATGGAGCTGTACTTGATTGTCAGAAAAAGAGTGTGTCACTCTCAGCTCTTACTGTAACCCCTGTAGAGTTCCAAAGTCCTATGTTGTTGTCTGCAGCTCAAGTAGAACAGTGTATAAGAAAGGGCTGTCAAGCTTTTATGATTTTCTTCTCAATCAAGGCAGAGATTGAAGAAGGTGTAGATCAGATTCCAGTAGTAAGAGAATTCCCTGACGTCTTTCCTACTGAAGTAATCGGTTTGCCTCCAGAACGAGAGGTTGAGTTCTCGATTAACTCGCACCTGGTACGGGGCCTATTTCTAAGGCACCCTATAGGATGTCTCCATCGGAGTTAGCTGAATTGAAGAGACAAATTGAAGAGTTGTTAGAGAAGGGGTTTATCAGACCGAGTGTATCACCATGGGGGTCACCGATACTGTTTGTGAAAAAGAAAGATGGAAGCCTTAGATTGTGTATTGATTATAGACAATTGAATAAGGTAACCATCAAGAACAAGTACCCCTTACCTCGAATTGATGATTTGTTAGACCAATTAGTCAATTCAGTAGTATTTTCTAAGATTGATCTAAGATTAGGGTATCATCAATTGAGGGTTAGAGCAGAGGATATCCCTAAAACTGCTTTTAGGACTAGATATGGGCACTATGAGTTCCTAGTGATGCCGTTTGGGTTAACAAATGCCCCAGCTGTCTTCATGGATTATATGAATCGAATCTTCAGGCCTTATCTCGATGAATTTGTTGTAGTCTTTATTGATGACATACTTATTTATTCTCGAGATGAGGTGGACCATGCTAGACATCTTAAAATTGTTTTGGAGATATTAAGAGAGCACAAGCTTTATGCCAAGTTGAGCAAATGTGATTTTTGGCTTAAAGAAGTTCAATTCTTAGGCCATGTTGTTTCAGAAGAAGGGGTAGCAGTGGACCCTAGTAAGATAGATGCAGTGATGAAATGGGAGCAACCTCGAAGTGTGACAGAGATTAAGAGTTTCTTGGGTCTTGCAGGCTACTATCGTCGTTTCATTAAGGGTTTTTCACAAATTGCAATGCCCTTGACTAAGTTGACCAGGAAAGATGCTCCATTTATTTGGACGAACGAGTGTGAAGTTGCCTTCCAGAGCTGAAAAAGAGGTTGACCACCACACCGGTGCTCACCTTACCTGTTTCAACTGCTCCTTATACCTTATATACTGATGCTTCTAAGAAAGGTTTAGGTTGTGTATTGATGCAGGAGGATCGAGTAGTGGCTTATGCCTCTCGACAGTTGAGACCTCATGAGGAAAATTACCCTACTCATGACTTGGAGCTTGCTGCTGTGGTATTTGCTTTGAAGATTTGGAGGCACTATCTTTATGGTTCTTCTTTTGAGGTCTTCAGTGATCATAAAAGTTTAAAATATTTGTTTGATCAAAAGGAGCTCAACATGAGACAGCGCAGATGGATTGAGTTTTTGAAGGATTATGACTTTGAGTTGAAGTATCATCCAGGGAAAGCTAACGTAGTCGCCGACGCTCTGAGCAGGAAGCTTGTACATACTGCTCACATGATGGTCAGAGAACATGAATTATGGAGTAGTTTTCATGCAGTAAATGTAGAAGTAGTCGAAAATCGTTTGGCTGCTCTACATATTACTGAATTTGAGAATAATTTTTGGGAAGAAATTAGAATTGCGCAACAGAAGGATGATTATTTGAATAAGATTAGGGTAGAGATTGGGGCTGGAAAGGCTGAACATTTTGATGTGACCGATGATGATGTCGTAAGATATAAAGGTAGAGTGTGTGTGCCTAATGATACTCGATTGAAAAATATCCTACTTGAGGAGGCTCATCAGAGTAAATATACCATTCACCCAGGAGCAACTAAGATGTATCATGACTTAAGACGTGGTTGGTGGTGGCCAAGGATGAAGAGAGATGTAACTGAACATGTAACTCGTTGTTTGACTTGTCAGAAAGTCAAAATTGAGCATCAGAAACCAGCCGGGATGCTACAGTCTCTTGATATTCCAGAGTGGAAATGGGACAGCATTTCTATGGACTTCATTACAGGATTGCCTAGAACATCTTCTGGTCATGACACTATATGGGTAATCGTAGATCGACTCACCAAATCAGCTCATTTTCTGGCTACTAATATCAAGTATTCTCTCAAAAAATTAACTGAAATCTACAAAAGAGAAGTGGTGAGATTGCATGGAGTGCCGACAAATATTGTATCTGATCGTGATCCGAGATTCACATCAAACTTTTGGAAGTCATTACAGGAAGCCATGGGTACTCGTCTGAGTTTTAGCACAGCTTACCACCCCCAGACCGATGGGCAAACGGAACGAACCATACAAACTCTTGAAGACATGTTAAGAGCTTGTGCCATTGAGCTTAGAGGTAATTGGGATAGTCACTTGCCATTAGCTGAATTTGCCTACAATAATAGTTTTCATTCTAGCATTCAGATGGCACCTTATGAGGCATTGTATGGAAGAAAATGTAGATCGCCACTGTGTTGGACAGAATTAAGTGAGAGAACTGTTTTGGGGCCAGACATTGTTGAAGAGACTACCCAAAAGATTGCTTTAATCAAGCAAAAATTACTCACAGCTCAAAGTAGACAAAAGAGTTATGCGGATAAGAGGAGAAGACCGCTTGAGTTTGAAGTAGGTGACCATATATTTTTAAAAATCTCTCCGGTA